AATCCACCAGTTGTTTTTCTTTCGGTAGAAGATATTCATCGAATGCTAAACTATATTACTTTTTTTTATTAAATTCTACGTTGTTATGATGTTAAATGAATGCAAAAAAAAAGTGTTATTGTTAAAGTAATTTAGTTAATGTTCAACAAATAAATGACGGCAGCTAGAATTGAAAACATATTTTTTTTAATAAGAATAATGTTATTACATTTTGTATTTAAAAAAAACTATTCCTCGAATAGTTAGTAACTATTAGTTACTATCTACACGTGCAAACTTATTATGAACATCGGAGCAAATTGAATTTAACAATATTAAACCACATATTTTTATTAGAATATTCTGTAAATCTGGTGAATAATACGATGTGGAATACTTAATTGTTCTTGAGAGCTTGGATATGAATGAAAAATGAATATAATATTCATGTACATACTCTTAACACGGGCGTAAGAATAATTGTGTGTTATTGCAAAGCAAAAGACAATTCATGAAGTAAACATAAGGATTAAATTTTATTTAGAAAAAAATTAATTTACTCTATCAAGATCATTGACCTCAATAACCACTTTTCCTGTTACTTTACGAGACATCATCCTATCATAGGCATCGAGTACGTCTGTAAATTTGTATGTAGAATCAATGACAGCTTTCATGCTTCCTTCTTCAACTAACTTCGCCATAGCAACCATTCGCGAAGATGTAGGTGTGAGAGACTCGAATATATGTCTACGAGGTACACCTCCAAGGTAGACAGGTACAACCATCGCGCTTAACAATTGTAAGATTCTCTTTGTAACCAACCATACTGTAGAACCTAAAATAGAGATGAATACGAATTAATAAATCCAAAAGTAGAATACGATTTATAGTTAATGATAGGTCACCAAATTCGACCATGCCAATAGTACAAAACAAACCCGAGGGTGTCAAATAATTGGGTGAATTGGAGTAGAGTGCATGATCACTACCTACAGTATCAAAAATCACGTCAAATGGACGGGAACCGTAGTGCTCTCGAAGAAAATCCGGCAAAACATGTGACGTATAATCTATGATCTTATAAGAAAAAGTAAATGTATTTATTCTTAAAATAAGCATACTTCGTCTGCGCCTAGATTGCGAACGATATCGTTTTTCATTGGAGAGCATGTTGCTACTACTAGACCTGTAGGTCCGACAATTGTTCGCGCTAGTTGAACTGCCATTACACCAACAGCTCCTGATCCACCATTGATGAACACTTTGTCTCCTTTCTTCAACTTAGCCTTTTCAACTAAAAAACAGTATGCGGTAAAGCCTTAAAATTAAAGAAACATACGAATATATATATATATATATATATATTACATTAGGAGAGTAAAGATAGTTAGTACCTGTAATTGGAAAGCATGCAGCATCCTTGAGTGAGATATTATCAGGTACCTTGACGATATGATCACGCTTTACAAGTGCATACTCACATAGTACCCCTTGCGCAATCTCTCGAAAGCTCGTAGGACCGATTCCAAATACTCGATCACCTTTCAAAAAATAATGAATTATTGAAAAAATAAAATATAATTGATTAATATTACCTATATTAAACTCTGTTACATTTGCGCCTCGTAAATCACAGATGATTCCACTAAAGTCCTTTTCGGGCACGCCAGGTCTGCCCATAAATGCACCTACCGGATCGAAGACGCCATAATATGCTATAAGCCGATGCGCGAAAGCCGAATTCAATGAAACATGACTGATTTGAACAAGTACTTCATCATCGGCGCACGTAGTTGGGATGGGTACCTCAACCATTGTTAAAACATCTCGAGGACTTCCAGATTTGGTGAACTGCCATTGCTTCATCATCTGACTATGATCGGTGGTTGTCATGTTTTATCTTTTTCGAATAAAAAAAATATCCTATGCGATACACTATGAAAAGAACTAAAATTTGACAAATTTCAATTCTTTTCATAGTACATTTTTAGTGTATTAAGTGAGACAAAAGTAGAATGAAAGAAAAAGTGTTGAAGATACATGACATAAATTAAAAAAAAAATTGTCCACGTGTTCTTGTTTGTTATGATAGTGTTATTGCGTTGTATAAAAAACGTAGAAAAACAAGAAAATATAATAAAAAAGAACGAAGCAACAAACTCTCTCATTCACATTGATGTTCAGTTTATATCTGTCAAATCAATCGTATGGATTTGAATGTGTAAGCTTATGACTCATTCTTACCTCCCGATAAAACACCAATAGACTTCTACAATAGAGACTGAAATTTTTATGTAATGGACACATTTTTTCTTTCTGTTCTTTTTTGTATACACGTCATATAAGCGAGAACTACTATATGTTGCATTTATGACACAACAGTGTCTAAAAAGAATATAGAAAAAATAAAATAAAACAAAAAAGAAAGAATGCGCATACTCGGTAGCTTACACTTCTCCTACACAGTTATATCTTAATCTCATGATGATTTAAATTTTTTAATCTGAAAAATCTCTATGTGATTTATTTTTATACTTTCTTTGTAGTGTCTTACTAAGTTGAAGTATTGTTTGCCAGCATTTTTATTCAAAGATTTATTAGTTTATAAAAAAAACTATTTTTTTTTAATAAAGTTCGTAATTTTAATACTGTTAATTGACACAGTCTGATATTAATATATATATATATAACATTTTAATGATGATTATTAAGATAATCTCTAACTTTCATAAGAGTAATTCCTAATTGATTTCTTCCGGTTCCATCTCCTCCATCACCCCAATAAGAATCATTTTTTGTATGTTCAATTAAAGTACGATCACCAGTTGATAATAACAATTCTTTTAGTTCTGGATGTTGTTGAAATTTTGCCAAACATGCTTTGAACATAAGATCATCTTTTACATTTTCCCAATCGGAACGTCTTAAAGATTTGTATGTTCGAACATAATCGAATGCTTCTCGAGGAGTAGCTAATCCTAAAATATTTTTAAAATGCATTTCATTTGAAACAAATTTTTGTGCTTGAAAATAATGTTCAACAGTTGGCCAAGTGTATCCATCTAATTGAATTGGAGCCGGATAAAAATTACTAAATTCACGATATAATTCATACTTCGAATAGAAAAGAATAGGCGTATCCGTCATATTCTTTCTTTTATTAAAATCGTCTGTTTTATAATATGTAAAGTTTCGTTTCTTTTTTTCTCCTACGTATTGTAAATATATACAGAAACAATGTTTGAATGCATGTAATAAATATTCATTGAGAAAGATAAGAATGTTTTTTTCTCATGGCAATAGACGCAACAAACATTCTTTTTCCTTTTCAATAATTTTACACATGTGTTATTATTTTAGTAAAGAAATGTGTATGCATGTGAGTTTTATCTTCATTCTTTTGATCATTATTTAAGTAAAATCTTCTATATAATTTTTCTTATTGCTAATTCAGAAAACTTATTAAAACTAAAGAAAGATTTATAGCGTCAAACGAACACGACACACACCCACATCCTCATGATGTAAATATATAATTAATAACAAAAAAATCAGTCATATATCATAAAAATTGAGACTTAAATAAGCTACATAACGTCAATATTTTTGTTATACAGACTATAGAGAGAAAATTTCCCCTTTAGAATACAAAACGGAGTAAGTATAAATAAGTATTGAGAATAACACAATATCAATACGAAAGGAGGATTTATAATTATCGACAAAATTAAACTATACAACAGCAATAAGAATAAATGTATATTATTGATCATTATATGAAAAAAACAAACTCGTCTCTTATACACAACTATAGACTGAACTTGGAAACAGGTGAAAAATAAATAAAACAATTGTTGTTAGTTTGATGCACCAGGGATGTAATGCAGTCTCGTATTCATCCGCGTACCCTCAAGATGCGCATGGTCTTACAACAGCTAATTATTCAATACATTTTTGCTCAAACAAA